TTGGCTCATCGCTTTTGATACTCGGTATATACAGTGTATTACACGGACATTCGCTAGCACAACACGGCACCGTGTGTACAACAGGAACAATAATATACGTACGTCATCTTTAAAAGAAGCTTCGACGCCTCCTCTAGCTGGCGTCGTCAATTCATATAAATATATCCCTCACGTCGCTGCATCATACCCCTTAAAAATTAGTTCTAGCGACTCGCCTACGCACCTTGAGTATGGTGAGTGAATCATTGAGGATAAATGATGAGAGAGGTTCCACTGTCCTCATCAGGTTGAACTACGGCTGGTTTGTCCAATGTATATCGAAAGTTGACTTTGCAACTGGTAATTTCAAATGCTACTAATGGTATTTATAGTTTATTGGATGTTTTCGAGTCCTCTTTTTATGTTAGTTAATCTCGGAAATTAATTATATATCTTCTTTCCTTGCATCGATAGGTTAAAGTTAAAATCTAGCCGACCGATCAACAGAAATATCTATCTACTGAGACTGAGTGTATCATAATTATAGCCAGTATAGAAAACGGAGAACCTGGTATATTTAACTTCTGAACCTGATTTGCGACTTGAAATATTATAACTAATTAATTCATATATGACCTTAGTTGTGGATAGTATGGTGGTATATGGTATATGGTATATGGGTCTATGCGCCTGCCTAACAATTTAGCGCTTAGATAGTTGTCTTTAAGATCCTGACGTTGATTTCTTTGGTGATTTATGGATATTAGGGCTAGTAGGTTCGTTATTCTTATTCTCATTCTCATTCTCTTTCTAATTCTCATTCTCATTCATTTTATCATTCTTCCTTGTGTTCATATATACAAGTACAATGTACATAGAAACGACCATAGCTAATAGCTCATAAACACTTAGTCACTACAAAATTACAAAAGCTAGAAAGCAAGTAAATCATTAGTCTACTTCCAAGATTTGCATTGCTATATGAGTATATACCTCGATTGTTTAGACTTTATCCTCTGAGACATCGGAGTGTTTAATTACATTTCAGTAACCTGAGTATATCTCGCGAGTTTAATTTTGCTCTTTATTGGATTGTACTCGAGTATATCGTATCCACATATTCCTTCGTTATCTCCCTTTTTTCTCGCTACTTACTGTACCAATTCCAACATGCACAAGATTCCCGCTAAGCAATACCCGTGTATTTATCCGTGACGTAAAATATAAACGTGTACCAGTATCCGCTATACGTTTGTGGTACTTACAGAGGTAGGCATTCTTGACAAGGTAAGCGGGCTCGTCTAAACGGAGTCAATTTACGAGTACCTCTCTCCCTAAAAGATGATCACTATCACCACATTGTGGGCATGCATCATGTATTTGGAAATTTGGACGGGGAAGACTCTAGGGTTCTATAGATTGTCATGGTCGTGCAGTATCGATTTGATGATCTCGATACATAATGGAAAAACAGGATGTTACTGTGCAGATTCAATGATCACATCCATGATCCAGAGAATTGCTGGAATCGGATTTTGAACATCTGAGATATTATTGATTTGTTTCTTCTTTTAGTCGAGCATGCTGGTGTTACAGTGAGACTAGAGACTAGAGACTAGGTGATGCTCTCGAGCCCATCAACGAATTTATTTGATCTTTCGATCATGATCTCAAATCTTTCCGCATCATGAATAGCCCAGTAAGTCACCTTTTAGACACATGATTCTTCCTAATGTTTCCGTACTCGAAACTCATAGTGTTTAGTGTTTGCGCTGAGTCGAATTTCTATCTTCAAACCTTAAGTAATAAGTAGTTACTACGTTGAAATTTGTAGAATAAGAAGATGGCCATTACAAAACCATGAAGAAAGACTAATAGGATACTGTAACCCAGGCTCATTTTTGATGCACTTGCTATTTGTTATATTAGCACACCTTCTCAGTCAGCCGATAATTGGGGGTATAATAAATGTATACTACTAGGTATCCTTACTGATGAATGTTAGTTACAAACCCCGTACACAAATTTCGATGACTGAATGTGCTATATGGTTACATTTCACACATGCATGCCGCTTGTCTTGCAATATTGCTACAACAATGGGAGGCGCATTAGAATAATCTTAGACTGGTTATGCATATGCCGGTAACCCTAGTCAGTGCTAGAAACCTATGGGCCGTCATATCCAATCTGCTTATCAAAGTCGAGATGAGACTTCGGGTAAGATATTGGGGTAAGGCAGGGCTAGGGAGAGAGGACAAGTAAAGAACCATTGATATTATCTGGAAACGCCAGATATCGGAAATCATTTTCATAGCCACCACCAACATTGTAATCACATATATAATCACAAAAACGAAAGGCACTCACAAATTAAGGCAGGTCATATATATACACATATACCTACCTACTAGAGTAGCATTACATTGCATTGTATACCAGTATCCAATCACAACAAGCAAATATATATATAATACAAACTAAAAGCATCATCATAAGGAAAAACTCAAAATACGCCTCGCAGTCAACCCCACAAACCCACTACCCGCTCGGAACAAATCCTCCGATCAAAATCCAAGGATGCGATACTATATCTGCTCATCTTCCTTCCGGTTTTGATTGACAGGGCAGGGTAGGGGTTCATGAATCCTATGGTTACAGGGGGGTTTGTTCTTGATCGTTCGTCTAATATTTTGGTTTGAGAGGTTAAGAGGGTTGCTTTTGTGAAGAGATGATGATAATGATAATGATGGATAGTGTCTAGACGATGCCAGTGAACCCTTTTACTCTTTAGAATGAGAGATAGTACTCTTGATTAGATTTACTTACTTGAGTAGAATAATATATAACAAATCGTGACTAGCTAAACACTAGTCGCTAGACTCTAACTGTATTCTAGAGTATATATTTCCAAGTTCTATTCAAGTATATAATCAACTCCTTCATGAAACATGTAATCAACATTCATAACATATATGAGCTTAGCTAAGAATTCTGAGCGAATTTCAAAATGTCCCATATTGCGTTACTTCATGGATTGGATCCGGATATCTAATTTCTCTACCTGCCATATTAGGATCCAGGCAGCCGTTAGTTTACCCATACGGGCCATACCATATCATATTCTTTCTGAGGACCATTTTACCCCTTGTCTCGGCATTCCGTTACTACTACTAAGAGAATAGGACATGGATTTTAGACACAAAGGGATAGGAGGAGTACTAAGTTTATATTGAAGCCCAATTTATTCGTTGTTTTTTTATAATATTTCCAAGCTGTTTTTTTTGTTCTATCTCTAGCGTGGAGTTTAGCTATCTGTACATAGATATCTTGAAACCCTTCTATAACAATTACAAACTTCAAGTTCTAAATGATGCGAAATAAGCGATAGTGTAATATACGGTAGTTGAAATCATAACGCTTTATTTAAAGAAGAATAGTAGCGAAAATCCAGTCCAGTTGTAGAAGTAAAAGATATAAAAGAGCATACGAATAACTGCAGTGGGTATAAATTCTGAATTATCTAACTTACTATTCTTAAACAACCTTTCTCCTGGTTCAAGGTTCCAGTATAACTGAAGATAGGGATCGAAGTGATACTTTTCTAGAACGGATGATGAAAAGTAGATATATCCAAGTGACAAACAGGGAAATTTTAATCTGCCTTGCCATCGGCAAATAGGTAGTTGCATACCTCTAAAGCACATATATTTCTACTATCGTTTAAAATCCCCACTCCAAGTTCCAAAGATACAGTGACACGAGAGTACTATAGTTCTGCAAACATTTTTTATTAATCCCTTTAATTCCCCATATCTCTCCATCAGGACTTGGCACTTAGACATAAACCAGAGATAGACATCAACCACACAAGTGATTTCCTATCCTACTAGCGTCCAGTATCGAGAGTCCAAATATTCTATCATTCACATTCAAAAAGAAACCAAAACATCAAACTTCGGCACCTCCGTAAAGGATCTCCGAACGCAAATAAAAAAGGCCCGAGAAACCCGTCTTCAACTTGTTAATCGGCAGGGACAGGGTGCGGGTCGGCATGGCATGGCAGTCTACTACTGCAGGGAAGTTATATATCAGGTCTACCGTATACTGTACCTACAATAGGAATATATTGACCCTGCGTCATATCAAAGGAGGCGAAGTATAGTACAGTACAGCACAATCCTCATTCGATACAGTTGAACTGCATGCACCAAGATTATTCCAGAAGCAGAAGCAGAAATAGAAGAAGAAGAAGAACAATCAGAAACACAAGTTGATTTGCACAGCCATACAATACAATAAGATTCCGCACATTACATTACAATTGCACAATCCCAATCAATCCCAATCCCAAGTTTCGAGAATTCTGCTACCTAGCACTAGCTCCTCCTCATCCTCGCTACATCCATCCATCCCACTCCACCACTCCACCATACCCCGTGCAAGATCTGCGATTTGATCCAAGCTTTCCGTGTTCCCGTCAAAACCCATGTTCAGAATTACTAGGCCGGTCTCTAGGGTATGAAGGCTCCGCTTTTATTCCGATTATTCTTTTTGTGCTCCACTTGATGATGATATGATTATGATATGATGCGGATTTTGGGTATGTACTACGGTATTGTGAATGATTACGTGTTTGTTGGGTGGATCTATGGTAGAATTGTTCGTATCGTGTGGTCCACCTTTGGTGACGACGGGAAGGGTGGCGAGATGTGAGTTGCAAGCTTGGAAATGGGAATGGGATTGCTTCTAACGGATGCGAGAGTGGGTCGGGTGTTTTTCGATAGCCATCCATCTTTTCTCCCAAGTGTGTAGCTGTATAGGGTGTAGTTGTGCCTATGGTATCAATATTGTTGATGATTACTGCACACAGCAAGGGATCGTTGGATATCAACAAACTCCTCTCTAGTTCTTCGTGATGATATCGTAAAAGAGGATGAAGGTCTCGCAAAAAAATGCACTGAACCCATCGTGTCGACTATATCCCCAATAATTCTCATAAAACTCCCAACTCTCAACATTCAACCCGTACTCCTCGGTCGCCCAGCCGCCACCCTCTTCTCACAAGCATTTTCCCACTGACTAACAACATATGGAGGCGGAGGAGGAATATCCGGAGACGACGGGGCCGGCGAATCTGATGCATCGTTCGAACTCACAGCCCAACCAATACTCCTTGGTCCTCTAGGCATGTCCCCTACACTATCCCACATCCAAGGTTCCCATACATCATGGCTCATACTATCCACCGTCATCATAGCCTGTTGAAGTTCCGATAATTCTCGAACCCTTTGAGGATCTTCGTTTCGTCTGGTGGTTGGAGGAGGTGCTTGATACGGTTCGATGCTCATTCGTGTAGGACCGACACTTGCTGATGCATCTGGTTCGGCGATCCAATAAGAAGGAGGTGTTGACCAGGGTAAGTTATCTTCACCGAGACGAAATCTTCCTGGCGTCGAAGGTAAAGGTCGGTCTAGTCGATCTGTAAGGGTTTGTCGAGGGGAATTCACTATTCGTTGTTGTAGTGGACTAATGACTGCGCTCATCGGGCTAACTGGACTAATCGGATGACTCCTATCGTTCGAAGACGGTGGTGCAGATCTCCCTCTCTCTGGTATTTCCGTCCTGATACCCAACCCTCTAGTCCGTTCTTGCTGCTGCGGTGATTTTTGGTAATAGCGAGGTGATTGATTAGGTTGATGGTGACCAGGTGTTAATATCGATGGTATTGGTGCATTACTCAAATGATGAGTATTTGCTCGTGCTCTCTCCCTTTCCCTCATGTTCCTAGATGTGTATCTCAGTGACGCTCCACATATCTTATCGTTTTCAGACATCGAGACTTTGAACTCGACGTTAACGTAAACTCCCGGTGCGGCTAGCCAACCTGATGATTCTCGGTCTGGATACGGCTGGTTTGAAGTATTCCAAGACGTTGACATTTTTTCTGTTTCTCCAAATGGCTCTTTCGATGACTTATCGAAAGTTAAGTTCGGGGTAGCAATTTTCTGGTTGGATCGTTAAGCTTTTTGTAAGGGAAAAGATCGATGGGGGGAGAGGAGAAGTTTTATGACCTTAGTAAAAGCTGTTTGTGTTGCAATCTCATAGGGCAACAAGCAATTAGATGATGTGAAACCACAAAAGTAATTTTATCACATCCGAAAAACCGGTCCTACTTCGCCCAAGTTGGAGGGGAGGCTTCAGGGCTCCTAGTCCGCTGTGCCATCGTAGGCTTAGTAGGTATGTAACGAAGGATGCAACCTTCAGGGGTGCGAAGGCTTAGTATGCCTAGTGCCGTATGTTGGAACGAAAACAAATAAATCATGGTCATTGCATGCCGGCTTCTCTTCCAAATAGAAGTAATGGATCATGGAGATTGCCAACATAGGGTAAATAAGGTGCTTAGACAATATCCACAGAATCTACATCTCCAGTAGATTAAATGATGGAAGATGTATTTCGTACTCCTTGATCGCGATTTCGGATTTGTACGACTCTTGTCTCACAGTAATAAGATCCATGACACGATGGATTCTAAAATGATACCGTAATAATTTTAGTCAATCAATCTCTCGTTCACTTGAATACCAAATTTGTTTGATATCGTGTTTGATGGTAAGATAGTTGCAGGCTTTGATCGTGAATAATCTCGTGAAAATCGTGGTAAAGCCATGAATGTATGTTGTGGTGTTGCCGTAGGGCAAGTTTAGTTCATGACGATCCTTTCCCAAACTTCCAGAAAAGCCTCTTGGAAGGAGTGGATCCGAAATGTCAAGTTCCAATGTAAATCATTCGTCACGAATTCAAGCTTGGACAATTGGGCGCGTACTCTGGTCAACCGCATTGAGGCAATACTCCAAAAGTATCGCGATATAGATGGGTATGTGGAGTCCTATTTCGACATGTTGTAATGCAGCCTTACTAGAGACCCGTCGAAAATGTTTGTCAAGACTCCTTCGTACCCTTATAGAAACTCGTCAAGCCCCATCAGAATCCAAAGGTTTGTGTCAAAATCGTAATGATGAGGGAGTCTACCCGAGTACTGCGGATGAAGCTTACGATCCGGATTAATGACTGGATTGTTTCTCGGATATTGCAATTAAATCAGGGGAGAAAATCTGCTGGCTTCGTTCATATCCACAACGGGACAGTATACTGTTGCCTATTGTGGGGAACCAACAACCAAATAACTCCCCTGGTTCATGGAAAGTTTTCTTGTTCAACTTGTGATTTTCAGTATGCCTCGTTTTAGCGCCTAGTCTGGGATATTTGCAGCTGCATATTGAGCATTGGACCTGCAACAAACATAACCTTGCTTGACAGTGTCACGGCCGCACAGATTGAATCTGCGAAGGATAAAAGTTAGCCAGTGTCTACTTGAAGATTCCCCTCATCTCATCTCAACACCGTTAAACTGACCCATGATGACCAGGTCATTCTATGTCCTCCCCTGCGTTGTCGATATCCCTTTAAAATCATGCCACAAGAGTATTTTCGAGACATCTTAACCGCCATACCGCATTAGTAGTTATTGAATCTTGCAATAGTTTGCCATTACTCGAATCCCACACTCTGACTTTACTATCCGAGCCTTCATTGGTAATTTTAGGAGCATGAAATTGTACAAATGTGATCGCATATTGATATGCCTCGACCCCCCATATGTCTCTGTGGTCTTCATTGGCGAATAAACGAATTTGAGTTACCCCGCTCGCATCTGCCATCGGAAAATCTGACGGAAGTAATTGCAGGAATCCTAGAACTTGTAGGATTCCTTGTAGGTAACAAGGGATGTAAAGACTTCAAGGACAGTTTGATACTCTCTGGTACCAATGGTCAGATATGCCTAATGAGGCAATGCGCGGAAAGAGAGACGACGTACCCAGTCATCACATCCCATAACTCTCATCACTTTATCCATGCTTCCAGTAACGACTTTCACTAAATCAGTTGCAATTGCGAAGATCTTGTTCTGCATACCTTTTAGCACATGCAAGCACACCCTCTCCTCTAAACCTCCATGTCCTGGCTTCGTTATCGTAACTACCTCATACAGCAATCTCCCATGCAAATCCAAACATTTGATATCTGCTCACGGTATGACCTTCCCAAATAGCTTAACATGTCCCCTTTTGATATTCCAGATCCTGATCGTGGAATCGCGGGATGCGGATATGACCGTAGTGGCTGACAAAGCTTTGACGATCCGCAGTATTGATATATGACCTTGTAGTTTGTTCTTTTCAACTCTATATGATAGAGAAGAAAATTACATCGTCAGCATTGAGTAATCCTTCACGAGGATTCAATTTCATAAGATTGAGAAATAGCAGTGGGCCTCGCTAGTGCATCCTCCCTCATCGGAAATAAACAAGCAATATAATCCTTTGAGAACCGTGATACTTGAAACGGTAGAGGGAATTCAAAACGTATAAGCATACTTACGTACGGTATCTGATACGGAGCGTTTTGTATCTTGCTTAGTGATGATACTTCAAATCCTTTCTATTCGATGAATCCTGAGAACCCATCCTGATATTGATTTGGGAGGTCAACGGACCATTGAACCCACTGGAATCCTTCGATGTAAATAAGAGTCCAAACAAGCGTATGCGAAGAGCTGCTTGTGGTGACTAAGGTATTGATAGCCGAGACCAGAGCCAAGGCAGACTTGAGTATCTTCCTTGATGGTATGAATAATTAGCCTGAAAGAAAAAAGATAAAGATACTCGAGTAAGATCAATGAATAAATCAAGATAATTCAGGTGTTATCCATCTCTTTACATTTTCATTGTAGCTCGATCCTGATGCTTGAGTTCGGATTCTATCTCGAACGTTCCAGATTAACTGAAGCTTTCCGACTGATGATCCTTGCAGTCGTGGTGGGTGAAAGTCACCTGAAAGAAGTACTTTCAAATTTGTACTCTTATCAACCTCTTGTTGATTTCCATCTGCTTGATCTAAAGAACTTCTAATGCCAGTTGTACCGAGGATATAACTCTTATCGAAAGGTATCGAGGATACCATGTTGAAGTCTTCTCTTGGATCACGGGCTTTTAACCAAATACAGAGAAGTTTATACTCGAGTAGAAGGTTTCATATTAGAAAATTATGATATCTGAAAGAATTCATAAGCTAGAGGGACGAGTAATATTATTGGTCGGCCCGATCGGCCACACTGAAAGCTTGTTGTTCTATTTTTTCTATCTTAGTGATCAAGCGAAAAGTGAGTTTATTAATTTTCACAGTAGTCTTGCCCTACGTTGGTGAGTAGTTCAATATGTACTAAAGCTATAAATCAATTACTTCTGATACATTCTTTCTACAATCTCATATGCATATCGAATTATTAGTAATAGTATTCTTCGCAGTGTCCACAAAAGTACACAGCGAAAGAATACACAAAACGCTCCCTAAGCACATCAGAAGAGGCTGCAAGCACAGAGCAAAAACACTACCCTAAAGAGCTCGCACTTCACATAGTTCAGAAAGGTGCACATTACACTGGCCTGCCTCTTTCCTCTTTCGCTACCGCCTTGTAGGAATAACATTTATTTCGAGCTCAGGACGCAGAAGCGAGGCGAGAAGAGATGATAGGATCCCAGATCGTCCAGCTTGAGAAGGAGAATGGCTATTGAGGACTTGGTGGAATGCGATGGGAAGTCTCTAGAATATCTCAACAGAATGCTGGAGGTGAAAAAGGACGTGAGGGAACTTCTGGCTTGGATCGAGGAGAGAGAACGGAAGGCTGTCTGGAAAGAAGAACAGAATGTCAAATACAAATATACTATCATAAAGACATCTTACGGAATCTAATACTTATATAATGCTCTATTAATACTTGTGATTGTGAATAATCTTCTATAAAGGAGATTAAAAAGAATCTATATAAACCTGATAAGAAATCAATATCTCCTTTCCAAAAGATTTCTACTATTCTTACTTGTAATAGTAGTAATAGTAATACACCAATAATATAAATGATATTAATGGCGGACTGGAACCTTTTGTGAATAAACAATAAGAGTAGAATCAGTAGATTGTACATTATCTTCAGATTTAACATTCAGCGTACTCTATTACTTAGAGTCATAAAGTTGATATAGCCGTTATTGAAGATATAGACTGATATTATACAACCGAGTCAAACTGACGAGCTCGAAGAGCTCTACTACTACTTCAATCATATTATCGCTACGTTTCCTAATAAAACAAAAACATATTCTCAACCCCGGATATTTTAAATCAGTATATAAAACTGAAGATTTAAATAAAGGCATGTTCTCCCCCACCGCTCCTTAGCATTTGATATCCATTAGACTTATTGAAAAGACTATATATAAATACAAGAAACATAGGCTGATATAACATATTATAATAGCCCGTTTTGAAAAGTCCATCTTTCACATCCCTACTAATTACCACTTTACGAATGTACGAATGGCCACTTCAATTGCCACTGGGATAACGAAGATTTACCGATACTGCACTTATCTAACCAAATCAACTAGACTGCCAAATAGCGTGAAAAACTCTTGATGACATGTGTCCAGAACCAAACTCAACCATATCGTCAAGAAACATCCACCCGGAGCCGGAGGCCACTGTGTCATTTCAATTGCCGGAACAAGAAGATTCAGAATACAACATCTTTTTGATAGTTCTTGAATATGTAGAACCAGTTTCTCGTATGAAAGCACTGAATCATCATAAATCAATAGATTTGCGCACGAAAACTCTTACCGACTGGAGTGGTAACTGATCCCAGTAAATTGAATATTTTGAGCCATCTAGAAGCAACTGGGGCTTTATTGTGATCCGGCCCTGTTGGGATATCGATGAGTCAGCATAGAACCATAGGTGGGCATATAGAACAGATCCTTCATGTGAGGACACCTACATCTTAATGAATATAACTACTGCCTTCTAAACTACCATAATTTCACTATTGATAAGATATCCACTGTGACTATACTACGATAATCTTCAACAGGCCCCACATGAATTAGCTTTGAATTTTCTCTCGCTTAACGATACTCGCTAACGATTTAGGAAGGGACTAACTTAGACTGTTAGACTTTACTTCTCGTGCTTCAAATTCTGGATTATTTTTCTTTCAGTATACAAGTCAAATATCGGAACAAATATCAGAAACGCGACGCCACGATTATTCTTTGCAATTCACTACATTATCATCAACATACTAAAATTGCTGCCACAATCGCACAATGTCTTTGCAATCACTTCCCAGAACCTTGTCTGTCGCGACCGAAAGATATTTCACACCTTTACCATCATACTCGGAGTCGGCTTACGAAAGTAGCGAAGCATACTTGGAGGATGGGCGTCGCCATGTGAACCTCGAGGAGCCGGCTCGCGAATTAGACCTCTATGATGAGATATTCCTGTGCTCTAGGAGAAACTTTGTGGTTGGCGGTCTGCTGATTATCGAGACCACATACGAAATCCCTGCAGATTTGGACGCCCAGACAGATATCGAACAAGAGGTGGAGACTTCCGGTGCGGTGACGGCAATTCCCAATCCGCGGGTACAGACTGATAATGGCGATGCTACCAACAATGGGTTTATCGCCAACAATAAGTTACCCACACCAGAGGAGTTTCTCGAATGCCGAGAAAATGTCGATGATAGAATCGATAGTACTATCGAGTACCTGAGATGTTTAATTAGTACTGGTCAATTCTTCAACACGCAACAAGTCTCAGCGCTTTCAGAATTTGATCCTCTTAGTTCGATTATCTTGAACTCGTACGCGGGCAACGAAGTCCTCGATTCACCGTGCGAGGTGTACGACATTGCACGGGAATTGTCGTCATCGCATCAGCGTTGTAATTGGTATACGGTAGTAAAACGGTGGCTGCGATCAAAGGTATACTGCTTAGGACAGTAGGTGCAAAATTCAGTTCCATTCATATATATAGATATCGACTCAAAAGAATAATGTTTATGATATTCTCAAATACTGAAACATATATTCTGAAAGTTGAAACAGATAAATTCACGATTTCCCGATTTTCCCTTAACGAATGTTCTCCAAGCCTATCATCACATACATTGGCGGGTCCTCGGCATAAAACTTGAATTGAGAATGCGTGAGCGTTTTATGCTTCCTTGGCTGTTCATCTTTCGTTCGCATTGACAGAACTGTCTCGACAAGAACACAAAACTAGCTTTTTGCTCGGCAGATACTTCAGGGGGATCTAGAGTATGTCTACCGGCCCAGACATAGCTAAACTGAGCAATGAAAGCAGAAGCTCAAGATTCACGACGAAGGTCTCGACACTGCTGCTGCTTGATCAATTTTCGGTAGCTTGGGATGTTGCATCAGATGATCATCTATCGAATATGCTTGGGGATGTAATTACCGGATGGGTTTGGTACAACAAGAGGAATACTGGACTTCAGTATTGAGTGTGCGATTCCGGAAGGACTCGATATGGGTTTAAACGCGTTGAAGATATACTATATTAGTCAATAATAACAATACTTTGAAACCTTCTCTTCATCTTCAATGATGTATGAAAGTATGCACCTAATAGAACCGATGTATGATTACTTGTGAAACAAAGGAAAATGTAAATGATGAGTTGTCGTCGTCTTTGGTGGTGGAGTAATGCCAAGAGATATGATGAGTCAGCATAACTTCACAACCTCGACGTCGCAAGCGCGCCAACTTCATATCTCTTGGAATATGCATACAGACTGTTAGGGTTTCAGAAAGCTAGGCAATTATCATATTGTCACTTCATTCATTAGTTGAGTACACACATTCTAATCTTCTGCTTTATCTTGCGACTTCTCATTGGTTTCTCACTTATGATAATTGCATCCCGTTTGAGATACTGGTAAGGTTACTACTAGCTACCCGAGTCCTATGAGATTGATTCGAGTATGGTTCGTACCATGTCCATTGAAAGACATCATACGATGAGTGAATCAGTAAGTGCAGCTTCGATGAATGTATGCTATCGTACGATGTAGATATTCACTATCCCAACCCATTCTTCAAGGATCTTGGCTAGGTAGCGTTGCTGCTTATCGAAGTATCCTGGCTTCCTTCCTTCGTGCAACTCAAAGCATAATACAGTAATTCCGCACATTTTGGAATCACGGCAACAAACCCAGAGCTTGTTGAGACGCGGCTCATTTCCAGCATATGATTGACACCAGAACAGTCACCTTAGAAGTCAAGAAACAGTCCGACTGAAGCCAAGTCCTGGGCGCAAATGGAGGCTTCCCCACCAGAATGGAAAGGGGGATTTAGGCCCAGGAGTTCTCTCGGGAATGGCCCACTGCCTAACGATGGAGTTGATCGTACACCGACTGAGAGATATCTCTACAGATCCAGATCATCGTATAGCGTTGATGGATGGTCTCGAAAGTTCCACGCGTCTGACGGACGAGTACGATATATGGAACGTAAAGCTTTAGGCCCGATGGCAACAAACAGTAACACCTTCCTTGGCTTACCTTGCGATCATAAAGACCGATGGCACATAGGAGAGTATCATTGGACTGGTCCATCACCTACGAGATCTAAGCCTTGTGGGCAGAAAGTACCATATTACTTAAATGGCTATAGTTGTTCTTCGAATTGGTATTGTCTTGAATAATCAAAGCTTCGCGAATCATGCTGATCCTCCTCATAGGCTGCTCAAAAACTTGATGACTTTAACCTATCCAATTAGAGAGAATATCTACAGACTTACCATTACAAAACTGCCGTCCACCGGATATTCCCATCTCTATTGGTTAACTACAGACGATCAATTAGTACACCCCTTGATGTACGCTGGCTCGGGCGCCGCAGCGGTATCTCCAGAGTACGAGAGTATTCCAACACTTGAAAACATGGTCAGCTCAATCCGGTGTTATGTCGAGGGAGAGTTCTGTTGGATAAGAGGATTTGCCGAAGCTTTAAGAAGGCGACGACATAATGGCAGTCAGGAGGCGAAGGAGGTTTTGATCGATTTTCTGGGGTTCATCAGCATGCGCATTGTGTGGTGTTTAAAATGCTGCAATCAGCCCTGGCAACCTAACGCGAACAATCCAGTTATTGAGGTGATTAAGCATTTCTACACATCAAGCAATCTAACCTACACTCAAAATCTGGCTAACAATCCCCGGGCCTCAGAAATCCTTAACATGGCTAAAACGAAACAAATTATTCCACCCTTGCATAAAGCACATCTCTATCGACTTTGATTCTCTAGATGAATTCAACGTACCCTTTACGGACGATTTCGTTTCCCTATGCAGTTACATATCATCAAATCTCCCTAACCTTGAATCTGTGATCCTTTGGTTAAGAATCACAGAAGATGATTTCCAAAGTGTCTTGAGATCTCCCTTAAGTTTCTCGTGGGTCCGGTCATTCAGAGCACTACCAGTTAGGAAGGTTGATATTTGCCCAATGTTGACGAGTTACCAATTATCAACGAGAACTAGGATTTTTAGGTTGAAAGGTTGCGTAGGTGCCAGGCTTGGTTACTTCTGGAAGGAGCACTCTGAGGCCGATGGGGAACGAAGCCTCCTTGTCGACGATGTGAACAAAGAGAGGGGGCTGATTCAACATATATTGACACCAGGCTCCAAGCTGTGGGGCTACATCGATGACATTGATGATGAGACTTACATCTCATTACAGTACATGGAGGGTTGGAACAGCTACACTGACGATATTGCTGACGACGCTTACATCTCACTACAATATATGGAGAGGTGGAATGATGATCAACACGAAAATCACCTGGCCGCACCTCTCGACGTTTCAAAAAGAGCAAGGCAATTATTGGTAAGCTTTTGAGCCTTCGACAGCTTCGTTTGCCCCAGGTAAACCTCCCATATAAAAGAACACCGCGCCGAGAACTTCCTCTTCCAGAATCACCTCGAAGAGATCCTCCTCGTCGTTTTCTTTCAGGTGGTAGCTGGCGAAGATTAATCTGGAACAAAATGAAGCTATAGCTTTAGCATCAGATCAATAACACGCGATGGTTTTCAAACATAATTCCGATTTCTTGACGATTGTCCCAATATCATTGATATCAATTGTGCCATATTACCAACCAAGAAACAAATATCTTCAGTTTTACACTACTTCCCTTCATTCCCTTCATTCCCTTCATTCCCCCACTTCTCAGGTCTTTGAAAAACATTCCCAGACATTGAAAAGCTGCGGCAAACCATTGTACCACAAGACCATGGTAAGGAGGTAAGTGTGACATTAGCTAGCCCACATCAGTCAACCTATCAAGAAAGCGCTACTACAATTCTTCTGTGAGAATACCATGCCATTGTTTGAACTACATCAACTTAATACAGCAGAACGCAGGCCAAAACTTCATGCCCCCCTTGATCCTTAATCGTTCCAAGCTACAAGACATGAAACTATTCTCGTCATCTTACAGTTGTTAAGTGTTATGCTTCCAAGTGCGGTCGGTACATTGCCTTTTCCACATACATATCTGCCCCTCCCAATCTTATAAACCTTATAAGCTGGTCTATGAAACCCAACAACCGCGGGGTAAAAATAAAATACCACATTGCTTTTTCATCTACGGCCAAATATGCTATGTGCATAAGTCGTAGAATAGCAAGAGCTCAGAGGAAGCTACTATTGTCCACTGCCACGGTCTCGGTGAATCCTGCTGGGTCATATTTTTCTTGGATATGTACATTCCTTGGATTTCGCTATTTTTACGCGGCAGGTATTTTTGCGGCAAAGTGCTGGTTCTCTTTATCTAACGTGTGGGTAATTTCTTGCCGTATATCGCAAGTTTTGCCCTTCCAGCACTTATATAATCTTTATTTCCTTGACGAATCGTTGTGGATCAAGGTTGGATTGGATCTAGTGTGTAGTGCATCAAACGTGATTGGAAAATCTCTTCGGGTTATCGGTACATTAGTACGTACTGTGATTGGATCCGATAGGTTCTAGTTCAAGATCGAGCTATCAATAAAGTCGTGACTATATATAAAGCGTGATAAAAATGACAAATGGCCCCATTTAAGTTATAATATGACTTCATTCACCTCTAAGGGAACTATAGGCACTTAAATATAGAAAGATAGATGGTAAAGATGGTAATGATGATAATAGTAGTAATGAGAGGGCTCGGATATTTCGGATAAAGTGGCAAGCTATAGAAAGTCAGAAACTAGAAGATAAGTTATTTTTAGATTAATGACTATTATACGGCATGGGTTGTGAAAATTCTTGTTCTGGATTATATACGGTGAAACGGCATTTATAGTAAGTGATTTTACGGTAAGTATCTACAGTTTTCTTAGAGGACTATTATTTGAACATTTGTACATTAACTAGCTACTAATTTACCCATGTACCCAGTGAGAAATGTTAGGTAGATTCCTTGATGAGTAGTCTGAGGGCTACGAGTATGCTAACGACGTTTCGAATCAGAGACTCTATGACTCGGAGCTCTATATAAGTATTTGGTCATTGTTGATATATAATCCCTGCCATCAGTGAAAGAAAGCTCCTCATAACGTCTCATACTTTTTGTGTACTGATGGAAAATAATTAACGGATTGTCCAAACTTTCTTTTGGGATAATGGAACGGTTCAGAATATCCGGTGTTCCGATGAAAATGAAGATTAGTGTGACCGGCAATTGATGCAAATGTGGGGCACCAAATTAAGCGAGAGAGGATCTAGGGGGAACTAGTCTAGTATGATTGCGGTAAGGTTTAAGATGTACCAATATGAGTAGAAGATTATGCTTGGTCGAATCCTACAAATAGAAATGGAATCACTGAGTGATTAAAATAACCTGGGTGAGTAGGATTACTTTGAGTAGTAATGTAATATCACTCACTGCATTATTCAAACTAAGATAATTGCGATATATCGAAGTCTAGCGGCCTATATATAAATCCATCTACCAAAAAGGATGAGGGATTTGTAAGTGGGGTCAGAACATAAAGACTTGACGTGGCTTTAGAAATGCTACATGACTAATGATGACTTGAAAAACATTCACCGAAGCTTTAAAGTCTAGGGCCCTGGAGAGAAACCTAACCAAAACCATACAGTCTGGCTCCGATCTTAGCATCTTTGCAAGCATCAAGGTTGTAATATTGAGTCTCAAGATATTCAACAGAAGTATTGAGAGAATCTCAAGAGATCTGAATGGTCAATTCAATATGTACTGTTCTACCCGAGTAGGATCTTACGAGTATTGGTGATAAGAAAGTTCGAGAAACTCGGTCCGTGGAGTTTAAGTTCTATTGAGAAAATTTCGGAACTTAATATATGTAAGTTTTGGCAAGAATAGGACCGGATGGTTGTCGAAAAGGTATCGACTGTAATAGAGCTTCTAACTCTTTCATGATTTTGAGATTGTATCATGTTGGAACATCATGAATTTTCTGAATTACACTCTACGTATACAGTACTTGAAGATTCTCTTCGTGGGGTGGTGGACGAGAAGCTATTGGCTTTAAGTGTAAAGAATGGTGATGAGTATCCGCTTGTAGATGTGTGAAATAGTTCATCTAATCCCAAACATTCATATTTCACAGATACACTTGCAAGCATCAAGCATATTATTTTGAGCCTACTAAAGATATAGAACAAGAGTTCTGAGAGAGATCCTATTGGTTACTTGAATACATAGTAACTTGATTGCGTCAAGGCTAACCAACTCTAGAAGGTGGAGCACCAATCGCACCCAAAGAAACCGGGTTCGGCGAAGTCATAGCTTCACCAAGAAAATACCGCACTCTGGTTAACCTGTTTATATTGAAATCTTGCAGATCATGACTCACGGTTCTCAATTGGTAATAGTCCGGAATCTTAGCTTAGTAATACTACTGACGCAAATATTATAAGAGGTGGAGTTCTCCCACTTCTTGGGTTTTCTTTTCAATGGGTTTTCTACAAACTTTCATCTTCCTCAAACTTTCAGTCTCTCTCCCGATACCTCCAACTGAAGGCAATCGAACAATGCCTTCACTTCCAATCTTTACAGCTTAAACTCTTAAGTTCAAGCTTAAGCTGATCTACCAATTACCAACTCGATCCTCCTCCATTCAATGGATCATTTGAACAGAACAGTAACGTTCACGCCTCACTCCTCCTGTGAGAGACTCGATTCGGTTTTCCTGCCCGGCGGGCATTCAATCTGGGTGCACAACATTCCTCACGGCTCAGGTAATTACTCCCCTATTGCCCTTTCTAATATGCCAGTTTATGCTTCAAATCTTTATGCGTTTTTTGGTCTTTCGTGCTTGACTTTGTCACTTTTGATTATTGCAGTCGCCGGTGGAAGTATGTAATCACTTGTTACGCAGTTGTATATATGTTTTCTTTTGTCCTGTTCGTATGCGTAATGTACAAGCACTTTATTGAATCCATCTCATCATCATTATCATTACTGTCACTGCTGCAGCCAATTCAAATGGTGAATTCAGTAATATCCAATGAGTTTAATAATAGAGTAAAGTATCTACCTGTGGTACTAAATAAAGAATATCGACGGTCGTCACTTTCGTTTGCTTGCGTGTTATTTTTGTTTCACTTTCACTCGTTCCTATTGCAGTAAAAGTATCATGTCTCTCCTGGTTTTCCAACTGTGCTGTCCTTGTCTGTAAATGTCCAACATACACTAATTCAAGCTACAGCACCCACATCATGATACAATCAACCTACAATTAAAGAATCCCAAGCCAGGTACTGGGCTGCCAAGAAGTCAATCGCAGCGACACGATTGACAATGTAAGACAATGTCAAATCAAAGATCCAAGATAAGGAGGGATCACTCCTCCCGATCAACAGCGTATAGGGAAAGGAATCAACGTTGCATTTGATGCTTCGTCTTTGTGATGGTTGAAAAAATATTTGAGATATATTCAGGAATTAAGAATATCTTATTGTTGGACTGCAATGCAATCTGGACTATTGGATACCCTGGCACCGTGGTATGCAGATTTTCGTAAGACTTTGCCTGGAAAGACAATCACTTTAGAGGTTGGTTGGAGTCCTGGGTTTGGGGATCTCCCGGGAGCCCGACAGATGCAACCCCTCATCCAGTTCGTTTTCTCCAGCTGCTAGGATTCTATTAGCAATCAATGCCAGTAAACCAGAAGGGGGCGCATCACCCGCTCCAAGAAGCAGGGAAGGGAATGCCACCAGTACGGCACGAGCAGCCGAGGGTAGTAGATCCTGTCTTCTCGCAGCACTCATGGCAAGCACAGCTCTTGCCAACTCGATCCTCTTCCATTCGGTGGATCATTTGGACAAATATTCAACGTTCACGCCTCACTCCTACTGTGAGGGACTCGACTCCGTTTTCCTGCCCCGCTATCTGAACCTCATCTGTGGACAACACCTCGTCTGGGCCAACAAATCCGCCCGAGATAGACTTTTCCCACGCCGCTCCCCGCTCCTGAAAACATAAGGAGAAAATGAAAGTGGGGAGGAGCTAAAGGTTTCTTTTTACTATGGTTAGGAGGGAAATCTAGATCATCCCAATGGGGTTTGGTGGTGGATAGTGGGAATGAACAATCTGCTTTTCTCCGCACACGCTATCCACGATTTGAACCATGAAAAGGATGCAGGTAGTAGACATCATGAAAAGGAACCTGTGTTTAAACCAGAGTTGGAACTTTTTCTTCAGGGACCTCGTCGGCGGAATTTCTGATTTCTACTATCTAGATTATCCCAATATCATATCATATTGGGGGGGGGGGGGGGGCGGAGGTCCTTTTTCAATATTTCATCACACCAACCAACACATTGATATTATCTCAGGACATCGTCGGCGGAATTTTTGAAAACATAATACAAATATCTTTTCTATATACTGGGTATAGAAAAGAATTCTACTCGTATATTATCCAATATTTGTTTTCTTTTGAAGGAGGAGAGGGGGGGGGGGTCTCTTATCTAGACTGCGCAGAAATACTCCGCTACCCTTGGGGACCCGCAGATACTTCGCCCCGCGGGGGACCCGTTGAGCTTTCAAAATTATCCGCCCCGCAAATACTCCGCAAATACTCTGCAAATTTATTATTTTTTATAATATTAATATAATTAATATAAAAACCAATATATTTTTATAATTATATTAATATTATAAATATTATAAAATTTATATCTGCGGAGTATTTGCGGATATTTGCAGCGGATACCCAACGGGTCCCCATTCAGATTTTTCTATTATCCGCCCCGCGGGTACCCGTTGCGCAGCCTAGTCTCATCTGCGAGTTATATTTATTATATAAAAATAAGAATAAATAATGACCCCCTTTCCTCTATATATAAATAAATAAATAAATGAATAAATTCAATATTCATTATAAAATCCTCCCCTCCTACTCCTCTCCTGCTCCTAATAGTTGAAAATCAGAGCTCTCCTCTTCTACTCCTAATAGTTGTAATTTACTGCTCTTTTTTTAGTCTTGAATCTACTTGAGTAGAAAAAAAAAGAAGGGAAATGATATTTTTGATAGGATATCACATGATGAGATATCACATAAGAGGGGTATTATATGAGTGGGAAAGCTTTCGAATATATAATATCACTTCACTTGTTTCACTTTGCAAATCTATTCGAAACTGTTCACACTCTTTAAACAAGTATACCCAAAGATCATTAAAGTCTTTGTCTCTTGAATCTTGTAATCATTCAGAGTGTGATTTTGAGAAAACTGTTAAGAAGTCTGTGATTACAAGTTAATTTATTGTAATGTTGAACGAGTTGCGTGAGTTGCGTTCTTACCTCCAAAGAGTTTATATTATGTTGTTGTCGGTTTGACAATGCTAGATATCGTGAGGACCGACTCCTTAGTGCCATTGTGTTGTTGGGATATAGGGGTTATAGATGAACCTTCCAGTCTCTGGCGTTTTGAGGGTGTGAGATATGGTAAAACCATTGAAGGCAGGGCCGGAGCAACAATGATGCTGGAGTTGGAAAGCGAAGGTGGCAGGAGAACATCGACACTGGTAGACAATGACCTAGTGGGGATTTGTGCAATGTTGGATTCTTCGAGATAATTCGATAAATCAGGGAGAGATGTACTTGTTTCGGATAAGAAATGCTTGTATTCAGGTAAATCTCTTAATATCTTTGTATGATGTTTGTTGGAAATAACTTTGAAAGGTAAAAGGTATTGTGCAATATCATTGAGATGATAACGCCGGATTCCCCGTAAATCATTCAAAGTCAATCTGAGAGCAATTTGAAGAAATGAACCAGAAGGTAGTTTTTTTATGAAATCCTGAATATCTGCATCTTCTAAGACTGTTTCAGAGTATCGTATACGAAAGAATTCCTGACAATCCTTTTCGATACGTCTAGAAATCTGAAATCTTTTCATAATTTGGTGATATCTCTTCGTTTCCCGGTATTTTCGATTGATTTGTTCAAAGGAATTGGTTATAGTACGCATTATACCATCGAGTTCCAATTCAGGCATACCAAGGAAGTTGAAATGCATGAGATCTAGTTGATTATCCTGGTTGGGAAACTGCACAAGAATTCGAGGTCCAGCCATTTTCGGAAGATGAAGATGTGATGGGATTGATGTTGCTTTGTGCCGGGCCAACATCTGAAGTTGTTGCTTTGCGCCGCATATGTGGCACAGCGAATTTCTGTGAGCCACTTTGGGGCTGACTGGGGCTTGGTAAAGTTTTGAGAAATATATAAGTATTTCTATTCTAATCTCTATTTCAAATCTATTATACTCTAATTAACTTTCTCATGTAGAGAGAGATGAGGAAGACGATGAGTTCACCGAAGAGAAGTCGGAAAGGACGGATTAGAAAAATTGTCAGCCTTTCGGCAAAAGGTCGAAGATCAAGATCTTGTTCGCGGAGAAGGCGGCCATGGGGACACCGCGTTCTTCTGTGCGCCAGAGATCGGCCAGGGTGCCGCCTACGAGGGTCATTGGTGCTGAAAACCATTCCGTCTAGAGCGCGGCTGATGAGGAGGGTTTGGATGTTGGGGGCTAGTGCGCAGGGAATGATGAATATTATGGCTAGGAAAAGAGTCACGCCGTAGATCCAGCGACGTCCGATGACTTCGGAAAGGGGTGCGAATATCATTGGACTTGTTGGTTATTAGCTTTTATGCATCTGTATTTCTAGGATATCGGATAACAAAACTCATGATAGATAGATAGATAGATAGATGGCTAAGAAGAGCCACTTCCTCCAAAACATCAAATTCCTTCTCCACCCCAACTAAGATCCGCCGTGGTAATCGACGACGCAAGCGCTACCATGAAACATGTTATGGCAACGACCATGGTACAATACCATTTAAAAGGCTTGGACCAATTTTTAGGATTCTCCGGATCATTGGGTTGGAAAGTGACGAGTTTATAATCCATTTCCCATGTCCTTTTGACGTGGAGATTTCTCGCTCGTGTATTCGGAGAGATTGGTGTGAGGACTTAGGGATAGATAGAGAAGATTGATGTCGAGTGCTGGATCTCGGGATACTTTTTGTGAGAGGCGTGTTGAGGTGTGCTGGAGAGTGTTACTGTCACTTCGGGAATGTGTGGATATGTTGGTTGTGGTACGGGTAATGGGTGTTGTGTGGGAATCTTTGATGTGGTTGTTGAGGATTGATTCATATGTATTATCCTTGGGATTCGAGGAACTACTCTCCGTGTCTGACATATTGGTGGTGATGGATGGTGACCATGCAATGTAAATGATATGTAGATAGATAGCTTATATAACAGTGAGAAATCGAGTACTTGTTTGTATATAAATCTATACAGAAAGCATCCTAAACACGCAATACAGAATGTAAACAAAAGATATATATCAACAAGAAACCAAGACACTTATATATATATCCAATCCTCCCTCGTACCGACGTCTTACTTAAGACGCAATATCAAAGTCTCCACTATAAGACCTCGATTCATTCCTCATCAAATATCTCACCCCAAAGCTCCACTTCCAGCCCTCCGACCTTGTCTCATATCCCCAATCCACACATAAAAACCTCTCAAAGAACACACTTTATCGAAACATCGAAATCAAAGTGGTATCAAAATCTTATTCCTGCCGCTCTCCTATCCGCGCTTCATCCGATCATCATTGTCCAATAGCGTTACATTGTGAAAGGAAGTACCTCGGTATGTTGAATCTTATCTACCCTGAGTGATATCTGTGAAGCGAGGGGGTGAAAGATGCGAGAATAATGATACCGGTAGACGGAAATGTGGACCGAGAGTTGATTTAATGGATAGATCTCATCCCATCCTACTGTATCTTATCTGATCTCATCATACACCATTCATTCTCTCGGTATCATTACTTGAGCACAACCCAAATCAACCCCAATATTTGTCATTAGATCACTGTCTATCAGATATTTCGTGATTTTGTCCGTCTTAGCCTCGCCCGAATGATATCACACCACTCACATCCACCCAGCGGGATGTAGACAAATTTCCCACCCATCCAGTCCGATCCAGTGGATCCAACTCTCCCTGCCATATTTTTCGGCAGCTTGGCGTTCATTCGGCTTATCTCCAGGCCAATTTTCTTCTTTCTTTCGTTGTCGCTTGTAAAACGAGGTTGATAAGTTGCGGTCACGGCCCGAGGTTATGGTTGTTGGCTCGAGTGTGAAAATTGCCGATGTTGGGTGACGTTTGATATTCATAGGGCTGAAAAGAGCGAGTCGATATGCGTTTGGGGTTGAAATTGATTTATCGCAAGAAGTGAAGCAGTGAAGTAGAATAGAAGCTGGAGTTTGGTTTGATAGAATATAATGATTTGGAATGGCTTTGTACTCGAGTAATGCATTTTAATATGAATATGTATTGAGGCCAAATCGTGCAATCGCGATCTCATTCACCCACTAGACTCCCATTACCGTTCTGCCATCATCCTAGGCATAGACAAATCTAGAAATCTCTGAACCCCTGATCATCTCGTCGTTCTATGTTGCGGACTGGTACGTTGTAGTCCCTTCATGTTCTTGGCACAATCAGCCGTGAACATCTATCTGTACGGCTTCCCCACTAAAGAATGTGCATCATTTTGCTTTGTCGCGTGTAATCTCCCTCTAGCATCTTCCCCTCATGCTCCCAATAACGGGTTGTACGTGGATTACATACAGGAAAGAAGAATCCCACCGTCGATCCTGCATTTCCAGGGCTGCTTCCCCAATCTTCCATCCTCTCATCTCATATTTGCCAATGAAAAACACAAATCCATGAGATCGAATGTCTCTAAATATTCAAACTTCAATCGGAGTCCCTCTTCTTTAAAGCATCGCAGTAGCATCCAGTACCGGAATATCCATACTCAAAAACGAATCCCAATCAAAGCCCGTGAAATCCATCAAACCAAAATTCGGCGTTCCCGACATCATACCATTTCTATTTCCATTTCCAATTCCAATTCCAATTCCAATTCCATTTCCGTTTCCGTTCTCCATTAACATCGACGATGGAATCATTTCTTTACCATTCATAACTGGAATCTGCAACTGGCCAATCGCAATCGGTTCGACCCTTGTCTTAAGCCCCTGACTCAAAATATTAATCTCTTCTTGTTTTCTTTTCTGTGATAATTCCACTAGTGTTCTAGCTGTTGTTGCGGATTCTGTAAGTGAGCGAGTGGTGAAACAGCGGGATACCGCGTCGAGAGTTTCGAGGGCTTCGCCAATATGTGATAGTGCTTCGGGGGTGTCCATGACGAGGAGGACGCAAACAAATTGGAAAGGGACATTGGCAACGTGCCACCAAGGTTGACGACATTCTACCATTCGCATAGCGGCTTCTAGACCTTTTGTGCAAATGGATATCACCTGATCAACAGTTTCTTGTGATATACTCGAGGCTAGAAGACGCAGACGACGGTATAATCCCAAACATAAATTACTCTGTGAAAGTATAGCTCCGTCTGATCGAGCATGAAAGGCGTACATCGATGCTATCACTGTTTCAAATTCCACCGCTGTATGAGTGATATCCTGATCCAGACGTTCGGATATCTGAAATAACTCAAGATAATCCAATGTGAGATCTGTCTCGCCTTCAGGAGAGGGAAACGAGGGTGTAGGTATCTTCACAGTGACTTTCGATCGACCGTAATCGTTCGCGACCCACGAGTTCATCATTCGAGCAATCCAATACAACCTTTGCATATTCAACACTCCACAGCCAATTCCACGCTCGAGTCTTGTGTCATTGCTTCTGCTATCCGAATCGTCCTCTATTCCCACACTTTCGATAATGTGCATTGTCGTACAGCTAGAAATCCATGCAGCATGGGGACAAGCTGTACATCTGAGAAATAGTGTCCTCAAAACCCATGCAACCACATGATGTCGAGAAGGATAATTCAACACACTCGTCGTTTCCAAAGCCATCTTTGCCAATTCTACCAATGATGCCTCCGCTGGACATGGATCACCACCCGAGAACAAAGATCCTAAAGCTGCAACGCCACACAGAATCGGATCATGTGGGTCAGAGTTATTGTAGTTCGTTGCCCATCTCTCCACGATTTTTCGATCAAACAAATCTCTATTGAAAATACCAAAGATCTGATGTGTGGTACTGAAATAATAATTTGCCAATCTTTGCATCTCAACTTGATCTATAACCCTCGTGATCGCTGGTTGCGCATATGATGGTTCATCCTTGAGTCCCAGATTCCATGATACATAAGGTTGAGTCAACTTCCCCGCATCCAACTTCAAAGCCAGAGAAGTGGCAAATGCCTTTCCCCAAAAATGATTTGTATCTTTGGCGACAGGTTGTGGTGCATGAGCACTTTCACTCTCTGCTCTCTCCCTTTCATCTCGATGATGAATACTCGTATCAGGCGAACTGTGACTTTGAGAAACATCGGTATCGTGATCCTTCAAAGCATGCCTTCTTCGTTTCCTCGGACCAAGCTCATAATGACATTCATAGCCATATCGGACACATGTAGCACAGGGCCCGGAACCATCGCAGCGCTTCTTTCTTGATTTACATGGCTGACATGCCCGTTTGACCCTTTGCCGCCCAGGTCGGATGTCAGAGCCTTGTTGATTAGGGTTGATTTGCTGATCTCCTCCGTCCATGACAAAAGGCTGCAGCTGAACCTGTTGGTTCAATGCAGTTGATTGATTCAATGATTTATTATCCATCCCTTCTTTCATATATGTGGTGAAAAAGTTCAATGGTTTTGTCAAACGGGGTTTTCTTCATGAAAGTTCGTGACACCGGGAAAGAAAATGATGTGGCTGAAGTCGTCTCATGTAGTACTATTTGACCCCTGTTGATAGAATAATTCGAATAACTTGGTAATACTTAGCCGTATGCAATTCACCCCAAATTAGAAAATCTAGTTGTCGGATAAGACGGAAAAGTTTTGCCATTATGGATACTCCACTTTATTGGTTTTAGCACGAAACTTTGATAAGAGTTCATATTCGAAGTTTATGAATCAGAATCACTTCAATAATATATACCGTCAGTAACCGTTGTTCACTCTCTTCAAGCTTTCTCTAAAAACGATATAATCAGCATGATAAGAAAGAACTTCGAATCGAATTGACTTACCAAAATTGTCAAGCTGGCGATAATCAATTCCTGCAAAAACAAATACATGTAAAGAAACCCCTTCAGATATAAAGAATCGATCCTAACATCACAGTATCTCAAGTTCTCCCTCCTTGAACTAGACAGCTGCATTGGATAAGATAAATTTCATTAACCGATATTCTGCCGACTACATACAGTAGAACCTGATTATACCGGATTCTATTATACCGGAATAATTTATCGAATTCTTTGAATTTTGTATAGTGATACCGGATTTTTAGCTTATATCGGAATACCAGATAACTTTTTTGAAAATCCGGTATATATAAATAATAGGCTTTTATTGATTAAATTGATCTCAAAGATCTAATTAGATTATATTTTTCAATATCACATGATTATTCTTGATATATTTGTATAAAATCTGTATAAAATTTGTACAAAACCTTATGCAAACTTGGATATACCGGATCTAATTGGTCGAATTTTTCGTTCCGGTACAATCAGGTTCTAGTGTATTAAATTCCCTTTCCTGTGCTTTTGCGCAGGGATTTGTTATATATAAGTACTAGGTAGGCCCAAAGTGATCGATACAAGCATCATTGCTTGGTGGCCCACAACTACAATCACAACTACAACCACACCTCTTCTCATTAGAAAAAGATTTCCTACAAGAAAATATATATTGGCTTTTGTTCTGAAAGATGTATTTTATACTAATTTCTTGGCACAACTTGATACAAAAAGATAATTTTTTGAAATTCTTTTGAAGATTTTTAGACACCAAGACTGATCCTTTTTTTGGGCTTAGCTTGAATGAAGATTATAGGATCTTTTGGTGGAGGGGTTATTTATTTCGAGATTAGTCATCCAAATGGGAGAAGAAGGCTAGATATCTGTATCTAACTACTCGGGTAAGGTAGATTAAGCTATTCACAATAGAGCATGAAGTGTATCAACTAATCATCCCTCTCCAATGCCTCCCTCATTACTCTAGAATCTCTAATCAACAGCTCCATTCATCCTTCCATCCATCCATCCAACAACCTATCCACAACCTCAACAACCCACCCCCCTCATACCTCCGCCCACTTCACTTTCATCTTCATCTTCACCTTCACCCCCACAACATCCATCCATCCCACTGCCACAGTCCACTACAGTACCACGCCATCCTCATCTCATACTTATCTTATCGCTATCTCCCCTACCTCTCACCTCCCACCTCCAACCATCCTCACACTAAACCCCATCCCATCCCATCCTATCCTATCCCATCCCTTATCCCCTTATTTCCTTAAATCTTCATCTAATCACCAGATTCACCTACCTACCTATCTATCTATATACATATAATCAAAAAATACCGATACCCCAATCCGGTCCAATCCAGTCCAATCCGGGAACGAAGAGGGGTAAAGATAATAAGTAAAGAGAATATGATATGATATGATATGATATGATCTGATCTGATCTACATACATACGAGTATATATCGATGAGCGATTTCAACGCTGTATCGTTAATGGGTGGGCATTGTGGAATGTATGTATGTATGTATGTGTGTATACGTATATAACCTACCTACCTACCTACCTACCCTACATATACACCAATCCATACTCTCGACAGGATCCAGCACATCAAAAGTATCAATGATTATCACTCAGTGGACAGTGGACATCGCCTACTACTCGAATTCCAATTCCAATATAGAGCACAACACAACCCTTTTCCTCGTTCTCTCCCCTCCCCTTTCCCTTTAAAGAAAATTGAAGTGGAGATTGAAATTTTCTCAGACCTATCATGTACTATGGTATCTATCTACTGCCCCCGAATCGCATCTCGTATCGCACGCATGGTCCAATGCAATTCGATTCCTTGAAAAAGAAAAGTAAACCTATCAGAAACGACGCTTTGCTCACTATAAAGATCGAATGCACCTTTGGCCTAGACCCCAACCCACATTCCTTCATTGGACTCTAAAGTCCTGATTTACTCACTGTGATTGCTCGTCCCCGTATTTCATCCTAGACCACGCACAAGGTCTCGTAACGCTCTTGGCCCGTTTCTTCAGGATTTCATGTTTTGATGGCTCTTTTGCGAACCGCTCCGACTTTCAATGAATCTTTCCGTTCTTATGGATGACGCCCTCGATTGCCCTGCGGTAATAAAGTTTGTTTGTGTTATTTTTGTTTTCTTCATTCGTATCGAAAAATGAATCTCGCACACTTTCCACCCCGAAATTTATTATCTCCTAAGATCTACGCTCGATCCACGCTCGCCCCTTATTGTATCCAGATAATCCCCTCTTGAGGAATCCATGCTTGGTCTTAACGAAGCACTTGAGCTCCTTCTTCTCCTCGCCCGTGTTTCGTTTGGATCCATAGGATTAAGACCTGATGTGCGAGCAAAGAGATTGAGGATATCGGATAACGTAATAACGCCCGTCAAACGACCGGAGATACGTGCACCAGGTAGAGACGCGGCGGATACGGCGGGGAATGAGGGGGAAGGTGGTACGGAGCCACTGCCGCTTGGCTGTTGAACAACAGATGCATGTGCGAGGGATGGGGTTGCAGGAGCTGATGGGGATGGAGATGCGGATTCGACGACCCACATACGATGGGATCTGGTGGCGACCAGTTTTGCGACTGTATGAGCGAGAGTTGAATATGGGTTGACGTGGAAGACTGGAAAGGAGTCTTTGCCGTCGCCAATACCTCGTTCGCTCAGGATTACAGAGATGAAGTGTATGCAGGAGGATTGGAGGAGAGGTAGACTGCTTGTATGTGTAAGGAGTTTAGTATCAGCTGCTGAAATATTGCCAACAACATTTGCAGCGTTGTCAACTACTGCAATACTTGTCAATCCTTCGTTGCTCATGAGCTGAAGCGCATCTGTGAGAAGTTTGTCGCCACTGTACCCTTGTTAGCAAAGTCGTATGGTGATGGAATTGAAAACTCACTTGATTGCAATAGCTTGCTGTGTCCCAATATTTAAGTCCCGTAGAATAGTTGGATACAACTGATCGATAGCCGGAAAACTGCTACCGTTGTCCCACAAGAATTTAACCAGTTTCAATTGACTTAAGATTCCCACAACTATTGTAGTTCCCGGCTTGCAAACAAGGATTCGATGTACACCACTGCCAAATATTTCTACAGCCTTCGAGAGATCTTCGGATTGAGAAAGTGTTGTGAGGGGTTCCTTTTTGGCCAGTGTTATTACATCTCGTAGTGGGATTTGTGTGCGCTCTCGGGCTTTGCTTGCTAATTGCGACCATGTTTCTTTTTGTTCTTCATCGGGATTTGCCAATCCAAGGACAACCAGTAGATATGCATTGAGGTCGTTATAGTCGAAGCTATCGCAAGCAGTCGCAACATTTGGAGTTTCGCGGATGAGAATCACATTGGGAGGACCGGATTCTATCAGTGCCTTTATGCAAGATTAGTATAGAAAGCATATAATGGGAAGATAACCATGCAAACCTTTGTCGCTTGTTCTACATCTGTATCCAGTTCACACCAATGAATATCAGTTTCTTGCACAAGTTCTCCAACCTGTATTTGTCTCCAGTCCCTTCCTGCAAATCTTGGGTCTCCATTTTTTGGAGCTGGAGGGTGATTGAGTAGCTCTTGAACGGCAGCTTGTGTAAATGATGGATGTCTTTGCGCTCGTGGTGAATGTCGTAGATTTTCCGCAAAGCTCGAACGATGATTGATACTCGCAGTATTGTTATTACTAGGAGATGAAGTGCTCTGCCTCGAGGGAGGATCAAAGCCTGTACGATCTGCCATGGCAGAGATTGATAGAACACCCGTTTTCTGTCGTTATGGAATTCTCAATGCATTCTTTATAATTTTAATTTCTTAAGTTGATGTTAATGGTTGTTGTTGTTGACAGTTGAATAGATGGAATTGATGGATCATGGCGAGCATAGCATACCTATCTATGGTATTGAATTGAGGGGTAGCAGCGGCGCACTACTAGTAGGATTGTCCCTTGCCGACCCAAAGAATTCGAACAAATACTGATATAAATTTTGATTTGCTATAAATGAAAGGATAATTGAATCTATTATTATTATTATCATTATTATGCACTTGAGAGAAAGAAAATAAATATATGCACAGAATACCTAGTTACTATGAAATAAGAAAATAAGAGCTCCCTTTAATTCATTCCTTACTCTTTCATTACTCGATGGGGTGTATGTACAGAATCTGCCAGCCACCATACATTTGAAGGGGGTTAAAAACAGACCAACCCCAGTTGGATGATCGATCATTCATTTAGGAACCAACCAGTGTTGCGCGCGTTTATTTTGAGATAAGATTGGAATTTGAGATACTGTATATGGTTCTGTTAACTATTACCTGGGTTGTGGAATGAATACAGGTACTACTCGATCGATATATTACGAGTAGTAGGTAGTAGTAAATTCATAATCGACTATACTATATTAGTATAAATGCATAGAATACTAATACTCGTAGATATTTTCTATACAAAGTAGTAACTAACTACAACTCTAGTTAGTGATATCTAAACGCTCTCTCTATCTATATCTACTAGTTGTACCTAGGTAGGTATGTAGGTAGGTAGGTAGGTAGGGATCTAAGGAGGGGTAAATCAAGAGATATTTAGTAGTCATTTTCATTACAAGCATCAATAAACAATAATAAATGAAGTCAAATAGAATTAATGAGTAAGTTGAATATATACAAAGTATATATGAAAGTGTTATATCCGTATATACAAAGTACTGTATAGTTAGTACTTAGGTAGATATAATACCTGTCACTGTGATAAGTTTGAGTGGAAGGGGGGGGGGGGGGGTTCGTGGCTGAGAGTAATATTTAGCTTTGTTGGCTGCTGACAAGACCAGCTTTTAGCGCATTACAGATACCACCATACTTTTATTATTGTTTGGTGGTGATCTCCCAAAAAAAATTAGAAGGAAATAAATCTATCTAACCAATTCCCCTCCCCACTACAACACAACTTCATCTGACTTTTGACATTTTAAATAAAGAACTTCCTTTTCTGCAGATCGATTCATTTTCGATTATACAATTATTACCATAATATCTTCTACTTCTACCCTTGAGCTTGTAAGAATTAAGGCGCATTCGAATGCGCCTCGCGCTCAAGTTCATCACCTCTTCCTAATCTTCAACATTCCGATACCTCGTCCTCATTGAACCCTCCGAGTCTTCCAATCCACACACATATCAACATGTCTGTTCTTCCAGCACAAGCACATACAGAGCTTGCACAGTTACTGTCTGCTCTGCAATCCACCGACAATAATGTTCGTTCACAAGCTGAAGACCACCTGACCAATAACTGGGTAAACACCAAACCTGAAATGTTGTTGATGGGTTTGGTCGAACATATATACGGTTCCAGCGATGCAAATGTAAGATTTACCTCTGCTCCCTGATATTCTGGCTGGGACAGAAGATCGTGTCACTAATCTCAAACTCGTTATAGACCCGATCCTTTGCTGCGGTTATCTTCCGTCGTATAGCTTCCAAATCGCGCAAGACAGATGATAACAACACAATCGAGTTATTCCTGGTCATCCCAAAGCAATCTGCATACGCCATTCGACAAAAGCTCATAGAGGCATTAGGCCTCGAGAAGTCGAATTCGGTGAGGAACAAGATTGGGGATGCGGTCGCCGAAATCGCTAGAGAATACTCCGATAATGGTATGATACTTGGGCGCAGTATGAAGGTGCTATGAATGGTAATCTAACGTTTATAGGTGAACAATGGCCAGAAATCTTGGGTGTTCTCTCCACTCTAAGTTCTTCACAGGAACCAGGACAGAGGGAAATTGCATACAGAATATTTGCTACGACTCCTGGCATCATCGAAAAACAACATGAAGATACAGTACTAACCGCTTTCAAGAACGGTTTCCAAGATAACGAGACGGCAGTAAGTCTTCCTGGCTAGTGAGATATAGAGCAATGACTGACAGAATAATAAGGTCCGCTTGGCAGCCATGGAGGCATTTGCATCCTTCTTCTCTAGTCTCGGCAAAAAGTCGCAACCAAAATATTATGCCCTCATCCCAGAAGTTCTTTCCATCCTACCACCGTTAAAGGAATCCCAGGACTCAGAAGGTCTTACCACAGCACTCGTCTCACTTATGAATCTTGCAGAGGTCGCCCCAAAGATGTTTAAACCATTATTCCACAATCTAGTCACTTTCTGCATTCAAATCATTCAAGACAAGGAATTCACAGATCAAGCTCGCCAAAATGCCCTCGAACTCATGGCAACATTCGCAGATTATGCCCCAGCTATGGTGAAAAAGGACCCTAGTTTTGTCACAGACATGATCACTCAATGTCTGAGTCTCATGACTGATATCGGGGCTGACGACGATGATGCAAGCGAATGGAACGCTTCTGATGATGTATTTTCAATCTCCGCTCAATTTGAAGAATTTTGCACTAACTTGAACAGATGGATCCAGAGGAGAGCGACTTAAATCATGTTGCTGGTGAGCAATGCATGGACCGATTGGCAAACAAGCTTGGAGGAACAATCATCTTGGCACCTACATTCAATTGGCTTCCCAGAATGATGCTCTCCGAGGCATGGAGAGACAGGCATGCTGCATTAATGGCCATTTCGGCAATTTCGGAGGGGTGCAGAGACTTGATGCTTGGAGAATTGAATAAAGTCCTGGAGCTTGTTATTCCCGCCCTCAGCGATCCACACCCGCGTGTGCGTTGGGCTGGCTGCAATGCTCTTGGACAAATGAGTACAGACTTCGCAGGAACTATGCAGGAGCAGTATCACCAACCTGTATTGACCAATATCATCCCGGTTCTTAAAAGCGCGGAACCTCGCGTCCAAGCTCACGCAGCTGCTGCGCTTGTTAACTTCTGCGAAGAAGCAGAAAAGAGGATCCTTGAGCCATACCTCGATGACTTATTGACTCAACTATTCCAACTCCTTCAAAGCCCAAAGAGATACGTTCAAGAACAAGCTCTCTCCACTATCGCCACCATTGCAGACTCTGCAGAGGCCGCCTTCTCTAAATACTACGACACCTTGATGCCTATACTCTTCAACGTCTTGAAGGCGGATTCAACAAAGGAGCTTCGTTTACTTCGCGCGAAAGCAATGGAGTGTGCTACTCTTATTGCTTTGGCGGTTGGAAGAGAGAGACTGGGCAATGACGCAACAGTATTGGTGCAGTTGTTGGCCACCGTCCAACAAGGTCTTGTGGATGCTGATGATCCACAAGCTCAATACCTTATGCACTGCTGGGGACGTATGTGTAGGGTTATGGGCACTGACTTCCTTGAATATCTAGGATATGTCATGCCTCCTCTGTTGGAGTTGGCGAGTGCTAAGGCAGATATTCAACTTCTTGATGACGAAGATGAGGTTGAGGCTGTACAAGCACAAGAGGGTTGGGAGCTTGTTCCACTCAAGGGCAAAGTGATTGGCATCAAAACTAGCACTCTTGATGACAAGCACATGGCAATTGAACTTTTGGTAGTCTACGCCCAAGTTTTGGAAGCCCAATTTGCTCCTTATGTCGAAATTGTCATGGGGAATATTGCTTTGCCAGGCCTCGCATTCTTCTTCCATGATCCCGTTCGTGTTGTATCAGCGAAGTGTGTGCCGCAACTACTCAACTCTTACAAGAAGGCATACAGTCTTGAATCTCCTCAGCTGAGCAATCTTTGGCAAAACACAATCCCCAAGATTCTGGAGGTTCTGAGTGCCGAACCAGCTATTGATACACTTGCCGAGATGTACCAATGTTTCTACGAATCGGTAGAAGTCATGGGCAATAATTGCCTGACTCAACAGCATATGGAATTATTCATGGAATCTGCTATTTCCGCTCTGGTTGATTACAAGGACCGGGTCAAAGCTAGAATAGAGGAACGGGCCGATGCCAATCGAGAAGAAGGCGATGAGGACTCCGAGGAGACACTCTACGCAATTGAGGACGATCAAACTCTCCTTTCCGACATGAACAAAGCATTTCATTGCATCTTCAAGAACCATGGCACCGCTTTCCTGCCCTCGTGGGAGAAACTTCTCACGACTTACTCAGCCTTCCTTTCAAGCGACGATCCCACACAAAGACAATGGGGCTTGTGTATCATCGACGATGTTCTCGAGTTCTGCGGTGGTATGAGTTACAATTATATGGAAACTCTTATCAAGAATCCGTTGATTGCTGGATGTCAAGACCCTGCTCCTGCCAATCGTCAAGCCGCTACATATGGTATTGGTGTCGCAGCGCAAAAGGGGGGTTCACAATGGACTCAGTTTGTGGGCAGTGCGATCAAGCTTTTGTTCGATTCTACGCAAATTCCCAACGCCAGAGGTGATGATGATGTCTACGCTACGGAAAATGCATGTGCGGCCATCGCTAAGATATTGCATTTCAACGCATCTGGTGTTGAGAATCAACAACAAGTCGTTACTGCATGGATCGATACTTTACCCGTAGTTAATGATGAAGAGGCTGCCCCGTATGCATACGGTTTCCTCAGTCAGCTCATCGAACAGTAAGTTCATATATTGAGCTTAAAATTGTATCTCACTAACATATCTTTAGACAAAATCCTGCAGTCACTTCTCAACCAGCCAAGATATTTGTTTTCGTTGTCCAAGCTCTCGAGGCCGAGACATTGCAAGGCCAGTTCGCCAACAAGATTGTTGAAGATACCAAGAATTTCCTCGCGGCAGCAGGCTTGAATATCGCACAACTTTTGGCGCAACTTTCCCCCGAAACTCAAGCCACGGTTCAAGCATACTTTAGCTGATCTTTCTCCTTGACTTGCGATTGATATTCGAGTTGCATGGGTGGTTGAGGATATGAAATAAAGTTTTGATTGATGATAGAATGATACCACATGAGCACGTATATTTTCCGGGTTATCTTTGGGATGGTTGGGCTAAGGGGGTGGCTGGGATTTGGCTATTCATCAACATCACTCGAACAATTTCATGGGTGGATGACATAGCGGTAACATGAGGAGCGACTGAAGACTGGGGCAAGGTAGCTTTTTTTTCTGAGGAAGAAAGTGAGAAAGAAATGTTCCGACAATTTCGTGTTCTAAGTAGTCTGCTTTCAATTGTATGCATGCAAACAGATAGGCAGACACAGAGAGAGAAACCGGAGAGAAAAGAGGATTTCTGATATGTTGACCTAAAAGAAGGTCGACATCGATTACAAGGATAGTCAAAAATTATATTTATAGGAAGATTGATGAGAATTGTGATATTGTGATGTTGCGATAAATGGACCCCTACATGAATGATGTTCCCATGCTGACCCGCGGATACAAGTACCGATACCGTGATGTAGTTAGCTTAAATTGGCATGGATTGGCATGCATAATGAGTGACGCCTTAGCGTAATTGTAATTATTTATCCTTGGGAAAATCGGGGGATAATATAATCTACTCGAGTATGGTAAAAAGGAAATACTGTAAGAGTGCTGTGGTGAGGTGTATACTCAAGTCTACGAATACGAATACGAATACGAGTGGAGGGAGGTAGAGGCAGTTGGTGGATTAGAGGAGTTGAAGATTAGAGAGGTTGGAGGAGTTGAGGAGTTGAAGATTGGAGATTGGAGAGGTTAGATGAGTACTGGTAGATGATTAATAAATAGGGAATGGATGCTCGAGGTTGCTTGAATAAAAGAATAGATGAATGGATAAATGGATAAATGGATGGATGAATGGATGTATGGATGTATTGGTAAGGTTATTTGAGTTTTGAAAAGAGAGAGAGAGAGAGAATTGCTGGATACTACTAGTAACTAGTACTGGATAATTGGATATTAATACTATTGGGTGATGTATTGTAGATAACTTGATAGATACTATAATATGAGCAAGGTGATCTGCCGCTTCTCTTAAGGCTCGAATTAGATAGTCTTAATTAAGTAGTTGCTTTAAATATCTCTACAAGTACTCGAGTAGAAGTTATTAGAGAGTTAGAGAATATATTATAGACTAGATATATATAGATCTAAGTTATTTAATGATTAAGAATTATTTCTCTATTCTAAAATTGAAAAGAGTAAAAGTAAAAATAGCCTAAGTTTTAATTAATAATAAATTACTCTTACACTACTGAAAATGAATTATATTATTATAAAGATAATTTTTATTTAATTTTATACTATTTAGAATCTATATAAATAATAGAATTTATTTTTAATATTTGTTTAAATTATTTAAAATAGTGATTTTAATTCTTTTAAAGATTTTAAATTTTTATATATTTTCGACTTTTTAATAATATCTAATTGAATTATAATAAT